TTTACGAGTTTGGCTTAGTTGACATATTAGAAGTTAAAATATCAGTTAAGTTCCAGAACTTTTTGGGTTAAAAAAATGATATTTCAACTTATAATATGTCAGTTAAGTTGAATATCTATCTCTTACTTTGTGAATCAAAGTCTTCGTAGTTATCTTATGTAACTTACCTTAATGAAAGAATATTGTTGGTATATATACTGAAAACATGACTTTGGATGTCATTTACACTATTTCTGTTGATTAAGAATTGTGTTTGATTAAAACATGTTCTATGTTCTGTTGTTTTGCGTTTAGATAAAATTGTTCATCGCGGATGGACAGAAGATCATTTTATCAGTTACTTGCGAAACAAGAATGATAGGTTCACAACCTACATGGAAACGAACAAACTATTGAAACAGTTGTAGTGTCAACGGGTTGATCTTGACTGATTAATTACACTGGTACATTTTAAGTATTGCACAAGATCCCAGAGAGGAGCAGTTCGTTTTATATTGATCGTCGTAAACGAACTAGGTCTCGGTTAATTATTCTGTTGTCTTAATCCATAAGATATAAATAGGCATGTGTATGAAGTATCTACTACTTTGATTCACCAAAAGAGAGGCCCATTTTGTTGATCAATAGTATTCGTGTTTTGGGTAATAGTGTTGCGTGTATGATGTGCTGTTAGAATATTTACGGTTACCATGTGCATTAGTTTGATGATGTCCTTGAAGTGAGTTATGAAGGATTATTATGTTGCATGTGGGTTAAGTTTCCACATAATAATAATGATTTGAGTGGTACGCTTCAGTACAAGATGTCGATTAATTCTTGATTGTTAGTAATCAAATTAAATGATTGATATTATCTTAAACATGAGGAGGTAATTCGGGTAATTATTATTGGATAATTCGGAGATGATGAGGGAGTGCAATAATATTTTGTTAGTGGACCGAAATATTATTTAGGCTTGGCCCACAGTTAGGCCCATACTTAAGAAGCCCACATCATCACCTCCTTAGGGTCCCTGCTATAGCCCTATAAATACACCATGTATCTCATGGGATTGGACACAATAAACACCCGCATAAGTGTGAATTTTGGTCGGCCTTAGTTCCCAAGAGATCAGCTCCGAGACTTGTTTCTCCACCGAGACAACCAGAGAGGTGTCGGGCCATATTGCAGAACTCTATGAGGTGCACGAGACCTCGAAGATCGTGAACAAACTATCGTGCACGACCAGACCTTCTCGACGACCACAACATGTTCTGCATCCTCAATCACAATCAGCCAAGACGCAGTCCCAGTGACCATCGTGCACAGCCTGCACGCAGCAGGGACCCACTCTCGTCCGCCAATGATCAGTGAGCTTCTCGGCGAGCTCTCCCCGGCGACCAGGTGACCTATAAGCCGCGCGACCCTTCCACCCGAGTGAAGTTCCCTGCGACCCCGACATGTCCGAATGAGGTTATTTTTGGCGAGTGGAAAATCAACCGATCTCCATCAACGAAAATCTGCATCGTCTCAGAGTCTGCAAATTTTAAGCCGTAAGTGTTCAACTCTAAACTTTTAGTATTCGCTGCTCATAGGTTTAGTATTGATTGCTTAATTCTTAACTTGTACTTAACGAGATCCTCACTGATCCCAGCAAAGATGGTAGGATGTGTTGAGCGTTCTAGTAATCGTAGGTCTCGCGGACGTCTTTGGTTTCGGCGGTTCCACTAGTACTAGTAAAATCAGATGCTCGTCATCCTCTTTGGTGGTTAGCATGGTTGTTTGTACCCTTTCCCCAGCCTCTTTCAATCACTCAGCAACATTTGAGCCTCCATGTATTGCGACGTCAACCTCAACCTTCATTCGTCAAGTATATATCTTCTCTCACTAAATGTTTGTTCAATCACCACGGTTGAGGCCAGAACAACAAAAATCTTCTTGGCCATCAAGCATGGAACAAGATAAATGGTACACATTATTTACCACCAATCCAGGACATTGGATTTGAGTGGCGCAACTGGTTGTCTGTCAATCGTAAGTATCATATTCGAGGTGAGGTAGTGATCAAACTCATTGTATCCAGTCCCCATTGCCATTTGGATATTAACATTCTTGTAGGGTCATAATTTGACAACCAGTCACCAAAGTTTGACGCTTGCATCGTCGTTTGTGGACAATGTCCATAGAAGAAAACCCGAAAGTATGAGAAGAAAATGATGCGGGATTTTATTCGAGTCTAATTTCTGTTTCCCTAACCAATTCATACACTAAATATTTCGCTTGCTTGACGAGCAACCATGAGTTAGGTCTTTCAGTGACAACAATGAAACTCTTCGTATAAATTTTCAAAAGTGTGTGCCAAAATTATTACAATATTTTGAATATCACAATTGAGAATAGTACATCAAAACCCGAGACACAATCGGTTTTTGAAGACATTTGAGAAAAATTTCATATAAATTAGAACTCACTAAAATCGAAAGTGAGAGACGAAGCAGAAACAATTTAGCTAGACTACGTCTATGGTTTTCGTGAGAGTATTGAAATAAAGTAGATGTAGAACATGTTCCAGTCGCATATGTTGTGTTACTTCTCGAGAATTGAAATTGAGTCGTGGGAACCCTATTTCGGTTGGATAATGTGTCCGTGTGTGTCGTTGCATGGTTTTGTACCCATGATTGGTTTTGAAAGCGTACTTCTTCTTGGCGTTGGACGAACATTAGTTGCAAATTCATATGAAATGTTTGTCACGCTTTTTTCTCATTGGACATTTTTGTGAAAATGCCTTGTGAATATGTCGGATGTCTTTGGTTGACTCCTGTCGACGGTTGTCGGTTGAGGTTGACCTTGACCGTGAGTAATAAAAATCTTCTTAATACGGTTGTTTTTGGTCCTCCTCGATCTCCTCGAAATGTAGCTCTTGGATTTCATCAATAGATTCAAAGAAGCATTGGGCATCCCCGGGCTCAATGTGATCGGCTAGACGTAGAAGCCTCTTTATATCGTCGGTCCATCACTACCACTATCAGAGTGGCCGATCACTAGCACCACAACGACTACCACGAGCTCTCGACATTTTATAACTTGAAGAATACAATTTATAAAATAAAAAAAGAGGTAAAAATTAAAAATGGGAGAGTATTATGTAGAGAATTTATAGAACCGAAATCATGAGAGATAATTTATAGAATCAGAACTGAATTTATCTAGAACATAACTGATTTTATCTATAATTGGACACAAAATCTCAAAAATACACTTGAAGAACTCAGAAATGAGATAAGAAAAAGTGAGAGTTCCGGGTCACCCCGGTGGTTTAAAAAAAAATTGACCATTAATCTCAATGGTCAAATTCAAAATTGTGGCCGTAAGCGATTGCGGGGGACCGGTTTGGACACGAAACCGGAACCCAAACAGTTTGCAATAATAAAAAGAAAATCGGACTGTTGAATCTCTAATAGTAAAAAAAAAAATCCAATGGTCCATATTTAATTTTTTGGCCAAATCTGGTCGATCCTAACCGTAACAAGCGGTTCACAAATCTGAACTGATCAGTTAAAACCATGGGCCGGTTCTCAGGAGTCAACGGACTTGATTTAGGCTGGTTCGGCCATAGCCATGTTTAACACAGGCTTTTTAGTTAAAAAATTACATGGTCAGATTATATTTCAATTATATTCATTCTCTATTTTGTATGAACTGAGTTGTTTAGAGCATGATTAGATATAAAAAGTTTTTGTTTTGATTGGATTTTTGGTTTGTGTTGGTTAAATTTAAAAAAGTTGGTATGGTTAGTTGTTAGTGGGTATAATAAAATAATATTTAAAATAAAATAATTAAAATTAAATTGATGTAAAAGTAGGAGAGAGAAAATGTGATGTGACGGTTAGTTAAAATTATGTGAGTTGATGAATAGTGAATTAAAGTTGATGTTGTGTGTAAGAATGATTGATTGATATTATTTAATTATATTGATAATATTGATGATAGTGGGGTTGAGTTAAAAAAAATAGTTGAGTTAAAAATGATTGAATTTTTTGAGTTGAATTTATACCCAATCATGCTCGTGTGATGGCTAACAATTATCTAATTTTGGCTTGGCCGAATAATTTTTTTATACTATAAAATTAAAATTTAACTCGAATTTAATCAAACTAAACTCTTTTCAATATTATCAATATATAAAAATAATATAAATCAATCAACTCCATAAATCACATTAATTTTATTTTACAATTTATTAACTCGCATTACTTTTAATTATTTATCATTTTCAATAATTTTTTTTTTTACTTTAAATACTTTAATCATTATATTTTCAAATTATATTAACTTTAATTATTATATTTTAGATATTATTTAAATAGAATTAACTCACTTGACGAATAAATTCAATCACCATCCATTTTATCATCTACTCGCGTATGTAATGGGTTATGAAACTTTCTCTTTTGACCAAAAAAAAAAATTGTTAGGTTGACAACAAATAATAGTAAAATTGAATCTACAAATCTAAGTGGAGTTAAAAAATTTTAAGAATTTAATTCTTTTTAGAAGTTAATTTAAAGTTGTAAATAATATTAGAAAATAAAATAAAATTTAAAATTAATTTAAAGTTACAACAATAGTAATTAATTAGTAAAATGAGATCTAGAAATATTATTTATTGTACAAATGTAAATCTTGAACAACGAAAAATGAAATAAAAAATATTTTTCCAACCGCAATTTTTGTGTGCTCATATTTTCAATTTCCAACTCTTAACCGACATTAACAAAAATAAACATTTTCACAGTTCCATTTCTCCAATTTTAGATACCTGGAATATATTCAAAAAATAAACAAAGATATATTAACAGTATTCTTTGTCCTAGACGCTATCTCAAAGGAGAAATTGCGAAAATTACAACGTGGAAATAACTAGAAAATAAAAGGTCAGTCCTATTGGGCGGGTAACGACTCGGCCCGGTACTCAAAATCACCCGACCCAAAACCCAGATCTGAATGATCAAACAACCCATCCAACGCCGCGTATTCACCGCCGCCGGCGCCGTAGTCCGCCCCAACCTCCCCGAATCCGAACCCGAACGGGTCATAACTCGGGAGATCCCAGATCAGTTCCGACGACTCCGACTCAACCCGGTCGAACTCGGGCCTCGGCTCGCTTCCCGACACAACCGTTGTCGGAGGGAGCCCGAGCTCGTCGTCGGACGCCTCCAGCAAGTAACCCAGATCCGGACGAGTCTCGCTGCAGTCCGACGCCGGATCTACGCCGGCAGCCGGCGAGGCCGTTATCTCCTCTTGGAAGCTCTTGACGAACGAGTCGAGGTCCTCGCTCGCCTCGCAGAACTCCCCCTCGTCATCCGAACCGCCCAGGAGATCCTCCTTGAGCCGCTTCACCGCCGGCGAGTCGGACTCGTCCGGCACGGCCGAGTCATACTCTTCCCGACTCCTCTTTCCGATCACCGCCGAATCCTCCATGGGAAAGAAAAATGAAAATTCAAGCAAAACAAGCAGAAAATGATTATAATCGCCAAATGGTAACCGTATAGTAGATAGCAAGAAAGAGAGAGAAAGGCAAAACGGTAGTGTGAGGAGCGTTTGGAGAGAGAGAGCGAGGAGATTTATAGCAGGGAAAACGTGAAGGGGGGCAAAAAGTGGGGCCCAGTGATGGTGACGTGTGGGGGTAGAAAATGGGGGCCAAATCACGGATGTCTCGGCAAAATGTATAATTGCTTTTTTCTCTCCATTGACGTGTCTGCTCACCGGCTGCCTCGTGTTTCTTCGTTTTTTTTTATTTATATTTTACTAAATAAATTAAAAAAATAAAAGAAAAGAAATTTTGGTGGGCTGCGTGATTAAGTGGATTGGAATTGTGGGTTTGGAGTCCGGGTTAGATGAGGTGGTGGGGCCCGATTGCCTCACGTTTATGACGTTGTGCGAGATATTTTTAATAAGTAAGAGGTAATAATAAAATTGAGTACAGAAAGTATTGATGAGAGGTGGAGAGGTCATAGACTGTACGTGCGATGGAACAGTATATCTATATATATTATATATAATAAAAATTAACATTTATTATAAATAATGGTAAGAAAAATCAAACTACATTCATTGTATAATATTCTTAATAATTTCTTTATTTTACATTTTAATCATTATTAAAAATTGAATGATTCCTAAATTAACGAGTTTTAGATGTTTTCAAAAATTATAAAATTATTTAAAATCGGATGGTTCTTAAATTAATGTTTACAAACTTTTCAAAGTTGTAATTTTTATGGCATCTTTTCTTTTTGATTTTTAATAATAAAATTATTTTAAATATATATATATTCTAATCCAAAAATAAAAATATTCTTTAAATTGCATATCCAATCAATTAATCTTGATTTTTTTTTAAATTACTATGTTTATTTTTTATTAATATGCATAAAATAAAAATAAATAATTCATCTTTAAATATATAATTTACAATCTTAATATACTATTATTTGGTGTAGACATATGAATGATAAAAAAAATTTATTTCATAAAAATAATTATTATATCTAAAGAAAATAAAGAAATTACTTTGGATCAATCGAGTGATTGAATTAGGGTACTGCCAACGTTGATTGAATTACTTTTAGGTGATATTTAAAATAGTCAAAAAACTTTGAAACAACTTAGTTGGTCTCAGGTAACTAAGTTATGTATCAGTTTGACCAGAACAAATCGATTATTGAACCTAAATATAAATTTTAATATTGAAAATACTTTATTACGTGAATGTGATGTAGTCCAAACTTTAAATAATCATATTAACAATACTTTTATGACAACATGATTAATGATTTATGAATATTTATATATCATTTTATTATTATTTAAGTGAACAAAATAATTATTTTATTATATTTTTTTATTAATGTACGGTAAATATAAGATTTTCATAACCGGACCGTCATCAAAACGATCAAGTTATTTTATTAAATCATTTGTGGTTGTTCAAATTTTAATACATAATACTTATATATAACTATATATATATATATATATATATATATATAGTACTTTTTGTAATTAATTTAAATAAAAAGTGTTACTTAAATATCTAAATAATTCATAAATTCAAATGTTTAAATTAATTGATAAACAATTTATAAATCTCTATTTTATTTAAATATGTAATTTTATTTAAAATTATTTTTAATGTAACAAAATTTGTTTAGAAAATCGTATCGATCCTACCAATCCAACAGACTGGTGTTGAAGATTCGATAGCAAATATTTTATTCAAGCGCACTAGACTGGTTATAAACCGGTTCTCGGTCCATCCGGTCAGACTGTGTCCAACCCGGTTTAATTTAAAAATAATGGATAAATCATGATTAATATTATTTATTTATTCAATTTATAATACAATCAAAATATTATTTTTCCGTGCATCGCACGGGACACACGCTAGTTTTGTGTGGTATGGTATGAAAAAATGAAATTAAAAAATTATGTTTTCATTAATTGTGGGAGAAAATTGTAAATTTGGTCCAAGAACTTTTGTTGTTTCCTACATTTGGTCCCAGACACGCCAATTATGGTCCTTTTTTAATTTTCGTTGTCAAAATGGTCCCACTCCGTCAAGACTTAACGGTCAACGTTTATAACCTGGGACCAAATGTGGGAAACAACAAAAGTTTTGGGACCAAATTTGCAATTTTGTCAAAGAGTAAGTGATAAAAATTATTTAAATTTATTTTTATTAGAAACATTTTTTTAAAAAGATTTTAGTAAATGTTAAAAAGGTATATTACCATTATTTCCTAACAATACATTTAGTTTATTTTTTAATAAATCATAAAAGATAAATATAAATAACATACAATTCTTTCACATTTTTTTTAACTTAAATTAAATTTTAACTTGATTTTTTTACATAAAAATGATTATTTAATTGGGTAACTTAACAAAAGATATATAAAATAATTTTATTAATTAGTTCATGATAAATGAGATGGAAAAAAAATATATGATATATTTTACTATAAATAAGTGAGAGCAAATGTCTATTTTCACTTAATTTAATGCCAAATTTTGTTTTATTATGCTTAAAATTGAAATTTTTTATGTAGATGTAATTTGCATAAATAAATAGATTTTTCAATTTATAGTTGTCAAAATCAAATTGATAAATAAAAAATTATTAAATAAAAGACAGTAATAAAAAAAATGTTTAGATTGGGTTTTTTTTAATTCGTATTATTAATAAAGTTTGTAAGGATATATATAAATTATCACATTATACTAATATTAAAAAGTGTAGACGGATTAGTATTATTGTAAGCATACTCAAATTTTTTCTTATTTTGATAAATTTGATTATGTCTTTTGGTTTGCTTTATTTAGGTAAAAGAATATTCTTCCTAAATATTCTTTAATTTAAATAATATTCAAATAATTGCCAATATTTTTTAAGTAATGACGGTAAAAATATTAGAAAATAAAATAAATACCACACAATTAGCAATTATATCGTTTACTTTTCCACCCAAAATTAAAATTTATCAACGCCTTTACTTTTCCACCCGATATTCATTTTTATAAAATTATTTTTAATATTTATTTCTCGCATCATATTCATAGTAAATTAATTTTATTATGTCAGCTTTGAGTGAATGAGAGAGACTTGAAGAACTTGAAGAACTCATTTTAAAAAAAAAAAAAAAAAAAAAAAAAAAAAATTGCAAAATTGGTCCAATCTAACGTCCTCACATGAGCCCCGTCAATCTTGACGGACGTGGGACCATTTTCGCAACGAAAATTCAAAAAGGGCCATAATTGGAGTGTCTGGGACCAAATGTGAGAAACAACAAAAGTTTTGGGACCAAAATTGCAATTTTATCTTAATTGTGGTATTATTTGTATGTGTAACATTGTAATTGATTGAAGAAAATGATAAATTAAATAATTAATATAATATATAATAAAAATTGTCTAGAATTAATTATAAATTTAGAGTTTTGCTATGAAATTAACAGTTGGCTCCATAATTAATCGCAAGTAGAGAATACCGTATTTTATAGTCAAATAAAAAAATACAATCAACAATAACTTGATAAGAAATATAACAATATTGAAAAAGTAAAAGTAGTTATATTTTTTAATTTGAATGAAAAAATAAATACTACACAATATTTGTAATATTATTTAAATCATTTAAAAATTCTTTGAATCATCTTAGTTAATCAATAGAATTAATAATAATACGTACAACTAAGTAGTTTATATATAATTTGAAAAAATAGTACAGAATTTTTGTAGAATTTTTTATAAATTTAAATTTAAAAATATAATTGCTTTTATTTTTATCGTGGTTGAGTAGTTATTAATTGTATTTTCTTATTAAGTAGTTGTTAACTAGAAATAACATTTTTCTTATTAAGTGGTTGTTAATTGTGTTTTCCATTAATTAAAAAATATATTATTTTTTACTTGCTATGTATAGGAGGTTGACTCTATGGAGTCAACTGTTAGTTCCAAGAACTCATTGGTACAAATATAAACTATCCAAAAATCAAATCAAATCAAGAATTTGATACGAGTATAAACTATCTGTCAAACCAAATCAAGATTCACTAATATGAGTATAAACTATCTACAAATAAAGTCAAATGAAGAATTCCTTGATACGAGTGTAAACTATCTGTCAAGTCAAATCAAGAACTTCTTGATACGAGTATAAACTATCTGTTAAATCAAATCAAGAATCTTTGATACGAGTATAAATTATGTATAAATCAAGTCAAATGAATATGATACAGGAAAGCGTACGAGTGAGAATGATAAAACGAGATTGCAATCTCAAAACACGATAAACTCCAATCAATTTCTTATTTCATATTCAAATGCATAACACAAAAAAGGAGAAGTCTTTAAATAAGGTTCATAAACCCTACTCTTAACTTGTCCAATAAGACAAGATTTCGTACTAAATATACCAATACCAATAATAATAATACTAATAACTATTCTCTTGCCAATTAAATACTAAACATAAAAGGAATAATAATAAAAGGAAATAAATATATATCATAAATTAATGATGCCAGACGATATCTCGTCTACATCATTCTCCCCCCGTAGGTGAGGATTCACCCTCGAATCCGCACCTCACGGCGGCATCTGCTGTCCCACACACAGACGTCAATCTTAAATGGTACCGGCCTCTGCCCATCGACAACATTTGTCCACAAGACATGTGGGAAGGAGCTGAGTCCCATTGAAGCTTTTTGACCACTACTCCCAAGCCTCCATTCCTCTCACAAATGTCAAATACAACATATCCCGAGCAAATGAGCGAAGAATTTTGTTAGGATGAGGATCACTTTCGCCCAAGCCTGGGAGATCATATATGACCAACCGAACACCGAATTCTTCCAACAATTGAATTTTGATACCCGGAACACGATGGAATTCCTCCAGCCCTAGAGGCTCCTCATATA